AATTGATTTAGAGACGGCAAACATTAAATTCTCAACTAAGAAAAGTAAAAAGTCCCAGTGTCGCTGGCGAATTGGGGCCCATCCTTATTCGCGCTTCAGTTTTTTCGAAGTCTTGTTCTTGCTTTTCGGTTTTGGTAGCATGCCCCCAGCGCATTTGTTATGAGCGCTGACGATGGTCGGTGCCAAGCACTCCTTCTTTGATCCAGGTTGCGCACCTACGCTGTCGGTTCCTTCTGAGATCTTGGTTTGGGCCTCACCTTTTGTTGGGTTCGCAGCAATAAGCGACAAACATGCCCAGAGCTGACTACACTGTAGTCTACAGTGACTTCTAAGGCAACACAAGTCGACAAATGTCGGGTTGTACAAGAATGTTGAAGTTCACGCTGGTCACGCATCAGCCTCGGGTCATCAAAGGGAGATTCAATGAGCAGCAACGTGGGGCTTCCAAGAGTGTCGTCTTGGGTACATGTAAGGGAGTGCAGGTTCATGATAATTGCACCAAGTTTCTGTTTTTGGTTTTTGAGCTAAGCCCTATATCAATCACTTTTCAACTTTCCTTCTCGGCCTCACTCCACCTTATTCACTTCGTCCTCTTCGACGCCGACTTCCTCTACAACACCTTTCCAACAGGTTGTGATGTCAACGACAACGGTTTCGTGCTTCACGACGAAACTGAAGCAGTTCAGTGGAACCGGGTTTCCAGCGTGGGGTGCTCAAGTGAAGCTAGTTCTTGAGATCAAGGGATTATGGAATGCAATTCAATTGCCCAGACCCACCGACTTCGATCTCAAGGCTGAACGAGACGCTGCGGTGGCAGCAGGAGCTGGAACGTCATCGGCGTCGGGGGCGCCATCGCCGTCCGGGACGGTGTCTATTGCGGTCTCGACTACGCCGCTGCTCGACTGTTTAATGAAGCAGAAAATAGCCTCAACCATCATTCTCGCAGCACTGAGTGAGAAATTGGCTGCTGAGGTTTATCTACTCGATCATCTGTTGGCTATGCTGCGGCACTTGCGCATGACCTACAATGTCAAGTGCAGCGCCAGTGTTGGCGCTGCCAAGCGGGAGTACATTGGGCTCTACCTAGATGGGGACGAGTCGATGATCGAGCACATCCAGAACACAAGGCGTGTTCTCGATGAGCTGCAGGAGCAGCATGTACTGATTTCTGACGATGAAAAGTGCCGGAACTTTATGCAGAGTCTAGGACCTGCATGGAATGGCTTCGTTGGTGTGCTTGAATCGTGTGCAACGTTTGAGTTAATGATACAACGCTGCCATGCTGAAGCAATCCGGCGTGATCAACAGAAGAATCGACGCTCAAGCTCTGTGTCTAACAGTGGCAAAGCAGCTGCTGCATTCAGTGCTGAGCAAACGTCGGGTAAGCAGAAATGATTCAAGCCCAAGAAGAAGAGGGACATGACCAAAGTGAAGTGCTTCAATTATAACAAGATGGGACATTTTGCCCGGAACTGCAAGAACGAACGAGTGTTACAGTCGGCGGAAGCCGCCAGTATGGCATTCACCGTGGCCGATGTGGCAGAAGAAAACAAGCGGGGTTGGATTGTGGACAGTGGCGTCACAAGCCATATGACTGGTCATCTGGACAATTTAATTGATGTACACACGTTGGAAGAACCCCGAGTG